TTGCAAAAGCCCACCCTCTGTTCCCACACTCATTATTATGAGTGGTACTTGGGGTCCGCTACCTAAAAGAACTATGGGATGTTCATTAAGAAAGTCCGACTTAAATTCTCAAAGTGTTCTGATTTCTGATTCCTAAAGTAAAAATTTATACCTATCAGGAAAGAGTACTTAAGAAGTCTGACCACCCTATATTAATTCAAGGGGTCTTTTGGAGTGATGTTGTGGGGAAACAACAGCGCCCCCACATGGAATTAGAAATTGGAGGAAAAAAATTTTAAACTCTGGATGTGGGGTCATTTCTTTAGAGCATTCAGGAGGGAGTAAGACTAGCCCATTAACTTCCTCTAAATCCAGCTTGGAGAAATGAGAGAAATTAACCAGATTAGAACATTGCAAGATGGTAAAATCCTACAGTGTAAAAAGCCTAAATTGCAAAATGGCTTAATTGAGCCTGTAACCTTATTGGTAAACTTAAGGGAAAAATGTCTGTTTGGTAAGTTACTTCAAGAACAGCTGGACAAATTTATTAAGAATTTTTTCAGTCTTTCAAATCATCCTGTGTGTTAAGTTCTCACAATTAGTCAGCTCTCTCAATTCTCTGAGCTAATATTTACATAACAATGAACTCTATCTAAGCAGTTTTACTGGTTCAAAACCAAGCAAGTTAACTGAGATTACTAGCAATGCTTTGAAATGTGATTTGTTAAAACAGCAGGGGGAGAAGAGGGATCTTATGTGTGACAAAGTTCATTTGGTCATTTTAACCAAACATTTTTTCTCCTTGCTAAAAGCTTGTAACAAAATTAGGGCAGATGAACACATTTTCACTTCCACAGAAAAAGCTGACCCTAAGAAGTCCCAGGAAGATGGAAATCATGTTTGGGATCCAGATGCATTTGTCACTTGCAGAAAGGGTTATACACTTGTGGGGAAATAAAGCTAATGGACTCTCTTTAAAAGGACCAAACCGTGTTTGGAGAAAGACGGACAAGGAAGAGATGGAGAAGTCACTCAATTCTAATCATAATTTTTTTTCCAGGTTGCTGACACCCCGAAGGGAGGAGCTATTTGTTTATGTTTTCACCGCCAAAGGAGATAGGTGGATTTCTTTTCAGCCAGCAAGGCCCAGAAGAAAGGAGCGAAGTCATGCTGTGCTCTGAGAGTTGAGAGAAGTCAGCCTTCCTGATGAGGAAGGCAACAATTTTCATTTCACTCTGGGTCTGGAAACTCTGCCTGTATGTGTGGGTGCCAGCCCTAGCTGTTTAGCCTTAACGCTCAGGCATGGACTAACTGGCTGGTCTTTAATGAAACAAGCTATGGCTTCTATATGATAATGGATGAAGCATTCATAGAATATGAAAACTTCACTACTGTTGAGGGGCGAGGAGATATAGGAACCTGTAAAGTTATGAGTTACCGGTATGTCATTGCTGACAGACTCAAATGGTTCAAACGTCAGGGGCCGCATGTAAAGGTGTTAAGAAATGACACTGTAACTATGATTGATTGGGGCCCCCACGGAAAGTTTCTAACTGCTCAGAGGAATCCAACATCACCTCTTGTGATTATGTAAGTAATTGTGAGTGGCACAAGACCCCTAATGGCATTGCTACTACCAGGTCAAAGTTGATGGCCTGGCACGAGGGAGGCCTTGAGCCTCCCCACCCCAGGTTACTGAAGCCTGTGACAGGACCTGAACAGTGGGACCTATGGAAATTACCGCTTGCCACTAAGCCTTTAACAGGCTACACAGGAAGCTTTACTGACACCAATCTGGCTATATTTATACTTTTCACAAGAATGAGACTTGATAGTCTCGTGTGTAAAGCTGCCCTATGTGCTTGCTGTAGGAAACATCAGTCAAAAATGAAACTGCTCGCGGTGCCACTTGCCATAATTGTAAATTATTCGCGTTAACCATGCTCTGCTTATAAACCTTTCAAAAGCAACATCCTTATCCTAAAGAGCAGGATTGGGGTGTGGATCCCAGTGGAAATGACGTTCCGGTGGGAGAGCAGTCCATAATCGTCCTTCATGATGCAAGTAATGTCGGAGATGCTGAAAAGACCTCACCGATTCATGGGACTGTTAATCACAGCTATAATAGGACTTACAGCTATTGCCACCACTGCTGCTGTTGCTGGGGGTGCTCTACAAGTCTATCAAAACTGAACATTTCATGAAGACGTGGCAAGTGGACTCATGTCAGCTCTGGGCCACTCAGGCAAAGGTGGATGATGAACTGGACCGGGGGTGGGGGTGTGGGGAGTAACAGAGCTGCAGCCAACTGTCCAGTGGTTGGGAGATCAAATCATGGACTTGCAACATCAATTACTGCTAAAATGTGATTGGAAATGTAACTGATTTTTGCATAACCCCTTACCCATATAATAAGACATTGCATGATTGGGATTTCATTAGGAAACATTTGCAAGGGTTTAAGGGAAACATTACATTAGATGTTAATCAGCTTAAGAATATTTTCTATACATTCAAAGACAAGCTTGAGGTGTCTCCTGGCTCTGGTATGATTAAGACTGGTGAATGGCATGGAAGGGTTGAACCCTCGAGCTTGGGCTCAAAGTAGTTCACATAGCTTAAGTTCCAGTCTGACTGTTGTTTATCATCATAATTTTGATGCTCACAGTCTCATGCTACTTCTATAGGAAGCTAAGAGATATGAAGAGAGACCATGTTGCCTCTGTGACACTATTAAATCTTAAACATAATGCAGAAGGGGGAAATGTGGGAAACTAACACTGAGGGAGATAGGACTAGGACTTATTCCCTGACTGGTATGGAGGGAAATCTGGAAGGCCAGTGTTCGACGGTAGTCAAGCCACCACTCTGGTAGTTGGAGATATAGTCCAAGTACATTTTCCTGCTGTAGTCTATCATTTCCATAGTTTCTCCCCTTGACGCTGTGCTGCCTGAAAGTGAGCACATGGTTGATTCTCTCTCCACAGAAGCAGACATTTCTATTTGCTCTATTTCTTCCTGCCATGACATCCAATCCCTCTCATACTTTCCCCCAATAGTAGTTGGGCCTGGGAAGACTTATCCCCCATGCCTGGATTCAAAATGTTTGCCATAAGCCTGAATTTTTGGCTTTATAATTTGGTCATTAAATTGTCCTTGACAGCTTTCAATGTATAGAAAATAACTTCACCCCTGTGGCTCTTTTGAATTTAATATATAAAACGAAAGGGGGAATTGTGGGAAATAGATTTCTCCCAAGTTGTCTCCCCCAAACATAAGTCAAACTTAGCTGCTTGCTACACATGGCAGGTAACTATACACTTGGAGGTCAACAGAAGTAGGTCAGGGGTTATTCTCCCTAAGGGTTATCAGCCATCCAGAGCAAGCAGACACCACTGTTTATCCCACACCATCCCATGGCCATTTCTCCAGATGACATGTCTAAAGTACTTGAGATGAAGTCTTGTCATCCTTCTAAGGAGCAATCTGCTTGTGCTTTTTCCAAGACAGATTTGTGTCTTCTTCTGGAAGTCTACAGCTATTTAGTTTTGTTCACCACCACCACAATACAAAGGCATCAATTCCTCTGTGGTCTTCCTTATTCATTATCCAACTTTCATGAACATATCATAACTTGGGGTATAGCACGATAATTTAACTACAAAGCTTTTGAGGGAATTTCAAATACATTCTTATCTTTATTAACTGCAATAAGTTTTTGCATTGGTGTTTCTCCTTTTAAAACATATTGAAATTACATGATTAATAGTGTAAATACATATGCATCCCCTTACTCTTTAATTATTATTTGTTGGGATTTAATACATATACCATATCATTCCATATTTCCCTTATTCTCTTAATGATTTTAGGATCTTTAGTGATGGCTCTTCTTTCACTCTTGATCTTGGTAATTTGCTTTCTCTATTTTTATTGGTCAGAAACCTGTCTGATTTATTCCTTCAAAGACTATTTTTGACTTTTTCTACTGATTTTCATTTTTATAATTGCATCTCACCTTGTATTTAATTGGCTTAAACCATGTGCAGCCTCCAAATGAATTGGGGATGTCCACTATTATCTGTAGCCTTCTGTAAACTCAGTGCTCAGAATTTAAACTCGAATACGATTTCCAAGAGATGAGCATGCAGATGACAGAAGGCAGTTAGTTATCTCTTACTTAGGTTTATTATTAGTAGGGGAATTACCCAATCAAAGGGTCCTAACATTTTGGGGAGTATTGTTATTTACTTTAAATCGCCTGTTAAAAGTTAATGGAACTTACATCCCACCAGCAATCATAGAAATACACAATTAGAGAACTTTGGCGGTGGAGAATGAATTCAGATTCTTTATCCAGCCATCTCCATTATATAAACTTAAAAACGAAGTCCAGAGATCTCATCCCAGACACCACGTCGACCTCCCGAGAGTCGAATTCCGTCAGGTTATTAACTGCTGGCTCACCACACACATTGACAGAGCTGCCTTTTGGCTCAATAGACTACACTGATCCAGGTCCCTCACCCTACACTCTCGGAAGGTCAGCGGCCTTGTAAGTTCGCAATGCACACAAAGCACCTGAATCCAGCACTACGTGACGCTACGCCGAGGTGGCACGCCAGAAAAATTGCCAATTCTCGGACGCCCTCCGCAGCCCAGTCCGCCAGGAGCTAAGCTTTCGGCGCGGACCGGTGAGAAAACCTTCAGCCCAGACGTATGGAGCGAGGACATCACGCTGCGAGGCTTGACAGGGACGCAGTCCCAGGTGCCCCGTGCGAACGCCAGACCCGGCGCTGGTGCCAATCCAGCAAATCGCGGGCGTGCGGGGCGCAGGCGGCCAATCAGATCCCCGGTCAGGCAGGCCACATGAGTCGAACGCCGAAGTAGTGAGCAGGCTGGCGCGGAGCTGTTGCTCAGCAAGCCTGGCCTAGCTTTGGGCGCTGGGCGCCTCAGCCCGGTGTCTGCGCCTGCTCCGATCGGCCGGCAGCCGTGGGCTTCCCAGGCGCGGCCGCGGTCCCAGCTGCAGCGCGCCGCCTGGCCGTCTGGGCCATCCATGGGCAGCGGCGAGGGGCACGATGACGGATTACGGCGAGGAGCAGCGCAACGAGCTGGAGGCTCTGGAGTCCATCTACCCCGACTCCTTCACAGGTGACTTCCGCGCCGCGCACTCGGGCCGCCCCGGGGCGGAGAGGGGCAACGTGGAGTCGCGCCAGCCCAAAGCCCCTGGCCGCGGGGAAGAAGGGGACGACGGGGGCGCGAGGCCCCCGCGACCACGGCTCTCTCCAGTTCTCCCGAGTTCCTGGCTAGTAACTGCGACTGCTACCTCTTACCTCGCTTGTCCCTCCCCCCTCCCCCCCAATTCCAAAAGGCTGGGTGAGGTTGAGGGCCCGGAGACTGGGTCCGGGGCTCTTCGGTTTCTGTGTCACCTACCGCAACCTGTGGGGTAGTTGGAACTGTAAAAAGAAAGAAACTACAAGTGGCACAACAAGTCAGTTCTCCTCCGAGCTGCAAAGATGTCAGTTTTCACCTTGATTAAAGTAGAAACTGCCCCCCACCCCTGCCCCCACTCCACAATTATTTCCAAATTTGGGGGGTTCAGTGCTTAGAGTTACCTAGAGTCCATTTTGAGAATAACGTCATCTCTAGAGTTTTCCCCTTTATTTTGAGAATTGTGACATGCCGCAGAATGCCTAATGCATGATGCATAATGCATCCTCAGTTCTGTCCACTCAGGTTCTTGGACTGGACATGACTAGGTGTAATCTAGCCTGGATTCCTCTGGTAGGAATACAAGTGAGGTATTATCGGAGGTTCAGGAAAGGTAAGTGGCTGGTTCTTGTCCAGGCCAGCGAGGGAGCTGCAAGGCTAGTGTTAATAGTTCGTCTGGAACAAGTGAGACTGGGAGACAGCTTGACCATGGGGTAGGGGAAGAGGAAATGTATTGTACACGGTAGGTTGAACTCCTGTAAAATATGATTGCTGTTTCCTTAGATGTATTTTATTTATTTATTTATTTTTTAGCTTTCCAAGACTCGATTTCCTCGTCTTTATTTATTTATTTATTTTTAACATTTTATTAGGGGCTCATACAACTGTTATCCCAATCCATACACACATCAATTGTGTAAA